GAGGCTGCGAGCAAGCAGTCAAGATGCTGCTCAATGCGGGCGCTAAGGTTAACGCGCAGGGTGGATTTTACGGCAACGCACTGCAGGCAGCTTCAGAGCGAGGTCACGAGCAGGTGGTTAAGATGCTGCTTGACGCAGGCGCTGAGGTTAACGCGCAGGGTGGAGAGTTTGGCAACGCACTACAGGCAGCTTCATTTGGAAGCCGCGGGCAGGTAGTCAAGATGCTGCTTGATGCAGGTGCTCATCAAGATCAGGAAGGTAGTTACAAGATAGCATTGCTAGGGTTCTAAGCGAACATTTCGAAGCGCATAGCAAGCATCTTTCAGTCAGCGTATAGAAGGACATCCATAGAGCATAGTAGTCATCTGTATGCAGCAGAGGATGCTTCTAGAAAGCTGTTAGCCTGCGCCACATCTATCTTGAGATTAATGTAGAGTAGGCATAGCGCCTAATTCATTACAATAAATTACCAGTAGCTAGCGGGAGCGCTAATGCATGCCAAGATTTATTGGGAGGCCCCGCCGGCTTGGGTCACGCTTCAGAGTTCTCCTCCTCCGCTCTTCGGGGCTTTCGGCGAGCTCACTCTTAAGTTTAAGTAACCTTTAAAGCCTAGGAAAATAGTCTTCGTCAATTGTTCTCCTTACTCAGGCCCCCCATATTCAGAAAAATCATCTAAAGCGTGAATAGACAGGGGGTTATCGCTAGACGATCGTCTGGCGGGGTAGGCGAAACGATCGACATTACTACCAGTACTTCAGAGATCCTTACCGGAGGCTGTTAGTTTGAAGAAGAACTAGTCTATGAAGTCTACATGTGAGTAGCAGTTCTATAAGTTTTTGCAATAGAGGCACCGAAGGCCCGAACCGCCAACCTGTCTCGGGACACAGTGTGTCTCCCCACTTAGGGACGCACCTTACAGCAATATCTTATTCCGAGCACTATGCTTAAGCTTGAAAGACTGTTGTGCGTTTGTGGCATTTGCAAGGCCGCCTATTAGAAGTGCTAATTAACTATATCATTAACCCCACATCTCCATTTTCTACTGGATCAGTTTATTGATGCATCTATAAAATTATTAATTATCATTGTTGTCTTGTCGATTACACAGAAATCACCACTTTGATCTTGTTCAATTCTTCTCCCTATCAACCTAATTAGAACGAGCATCTTTCTAGAGAAAAGGTGGTTATTAGAAGAAAATCTGTAAACATCATGAAACCCACAACCGCCCAACTTGCAAGAAAAAGAGAAAGGAACCGTGAGAGTCAGCGAAGGTCGCGCCAGAGGGTCAAAGACCAGATTGATGCTCTTGAACGACAGGTTCGGGATCAAGTGTACAAACATAGACCGTCTTATTAACAGCCTTAGAACAGAGAGCTTGAGCTAGATAGCAGGTCGCTACAGAAGCAGCTGCTACGTGCCCTAGAAGCTATAGAAGTGTTCGAAAAGGGTGCGAGTCTGCAACAAAACTTTATCTTTAAGTAGAAAGTGCATATCTAACCTATATAGCTCTGTGTCGATCTGAAGCAAAAGCAGAGGCCTTAATAGATACCAATTTCCATACGCCACGCACTTCAAGTAATACTCTAGTATCTAATCACGAGCTATCAACTCCAACTTCATACTTGAACCAAAGCTCATCAAATATATATACCTTATCAGCTTTAACTTACAGTTATAGTTCTTTTAACACAAATGACTGCCCTAATGTAGGTAGCATGTACGAAAGGAAAGCTGAGCTGAAAAACAGCTGGGAGTACAGCTCCCTACACTTATCATCAGATATGACTGAGACAGCGGATATTACATTTAAGGATTTGGAGAACATATCATGTTCAGCGCGGCAAGTTAGCGAAGGTGGTTCAGTAGTTTAGTGTTTATAGTGCACTTAGTAAAGCATAGAGCCAATGGCGTCGCCGTCATCAGAAAGCTTGATTATTGTTTTCTCAACATTCCGTCAAGTCCTCTCAGTAAGCAGCCGCGAGAAAATCTGAGGTAGGAACTAGTTAAAAAAGTTGTTCGAAGAACTATGTATTACAAAGTTTAGAATTGTCTACGTGCTTTTTTCCTAGCGCGATGTGTATCGTGTTTAGCGCCGTAGGTACTAGTACTAGCTACCCATCTAACGAGCTTGCCGCTCATATGCAAAGTCCTATGAGTGTGTTGTTCGGGCGCTTCTCGGAGACGAGACATCAAGTCCTCTACACCACCCAAGGTATGTTTTAGCTGCCCCTTTATATTTTCCAATTCGTCCAAGATATCTGCCACTTTAGTATCACTCTCCTCGGGCTTGCGCTCTATATAACTTTTAAGCGCTACTCGATCTAAAGGGAGGATAGACTTACTAGCGTTGGTGTGTGAGACTGCTTCTTTGGTCTCGCACGAGGTGAATTTGCCAGGCTGCTCCTTGCTCTTCTTATCACCCAACTGCTTGCTTGCAGATGCTGGTTTTGCTAGATCTGAAGCTGGATAACCAGCATCATCCCTGACTGGTAGACAGTTTTGATATCCCTGAGATGATTAACAATAATCGTTAATCGTGCAGCATCTATGCATACTTGGTACAATGTATCGTCTGGAATAGTATCTTGAGAACTCATCACTCTCTTCGCTTCCCAAGAAGACATGGACTGCGGGTTAGAAGAGGAGTACTTTTGTGAGAGGGATTCGAAGCTCACTATATACCACTCGTCTTAGCTAGACTAGTCAGGTCGTTGGACAGGGTACACAGTGACATTCGAAATCCCTACAGGGGTCAATAGCCCTATACAGCGCGGAGTATATTACCTACATATAGATCATTATAAACGCACACAGTTGGTAGGACGGATTAGATGCAGAGTGAGCCTCAGTCGCTTATTAGGACTTAGGGCCGAGGTGATAGGAACTGTCAGTTTCTTTTTGGAGCTAACCTATCTATCGTGATAGTACCATTTCGTGGATTTCCTATAGTAAAAAAATCATTTTCGGAATAGAAATTGTTATGCTATACATCATCAAGCGGTCGCTCCTAAATATGAACAGTTTACTTAGCTTGAGAAAGCGCGGCAATAACAGCTTCGCCTGATCCAGCAGCTTCTGTGCCTCATTCCTAGACATAAAGTTAGGGAGATGGTTGCATAGTTCGGGTTCAGGATACTAGTATAGGTGATGGTGCCATTGTGAGGAGTTGCGGTCATTCGCCCGTTTTTGATAGCCTTCTGGGCTGCCTTGTTCAGGTGAGACGCCTGCTTTGATCTGAATTTGGACCTTGCTAAGTAGATGCATTAGTTAGCAGGAACTTGGAAGCGGAGATGATCCCAGATCTGTCTCTGCTGCATCTTGCGTGTATTTAACACAGCCCCTTCATTCATCGTGTTCAGCCAGTCCTCCACTTTTCTCTAATCTTCTTAAATACCTCACAATACTAAGCTTGGAATAATCTGCGTTGCGCGCGACCAATGTCGTACTACACGTTGTCGATCGGAATCTATGGGGACGGAGAAGACCCGAACCACCGCTCCCATTAGGGTTTTCTAATTTTCCGTCAGGGAAACGAAGTTGGAAACCTCCTGCACGTACAGTTGATGTCTTTTAAAGGATTGATTTATCAGTTCGAAACTCGAAGCGGTCACCTACTAGAAAGCTAGACTTGTGAAGGGAGGGTACTTTTAGGTTACATCGAACTGACAAAGTACAATCAGGTTATGGATATCATATTAAAAGAACCAGCACCGCGGAATAATAAAGTGAGGACACCATTGCTAATTAGATATAATTCTAATTAGTGTAGAATCAATATCAAGACTAGACTCTAGATTACGTAATTGCACTCGAAGCTGAGGAATTACTCCCTGCCGGTACCTTAGGTTAGATTAAAGGGATCGTCGGGAAGCCTTCTAAAGACGTTGCAGCAGCAGTGGGTGGGAGATGGACCGCAGCAAGAAGGTAGAATTAGGGTGACAAGGGAGATCTAGATTAGGTAAACTTCATAGTCCACTATATCGAACTAGCTCACGTTCAAGTTCTAATAGTAAGGCATAAGTATTATCCAGTATCTTTAGGATTATCTAATCGATTATGGAAGACCACAAAGAATTACGAGCGCGCGACTTTGCTTCAAAGTATTCACGTTTAGGTATACTAAACCCTAAAACTCCCATGTCTAGAATAGCAACCACATTAAGTTGGTCATCAACGAGTATATTGTCTAGGGTAAGATCTCCATAGCAGAATACAGCGCATCCGTCCCCAAGACGCTAGATTCTTTCTATCAGGTGCGCATCATTGGCGTCGAATCGTCCATAAGGCCGGGAATTTCGAAGTACATCAATAAGCCCATTACAATATTCTATACGCGACCTAAATAGGCCATATTCCTAGTCTAGAATATTTGCGGCAGGTAAATGTTGAAAGAAGACATCTCGACACGGTTTAAAGCCTATAGACCCAAAAAAGTCACCACGTAGACCCATCCAGCTCTAGACGAATCTTAAAAGTTATGCAGTCACTCTTTCTACCTGTGCTTCGTCAAAGGTATATAGAACGTCATACAGCGGTGTTCTAATAACCCTAGACATAAAGATATTACCAAAGCCATCCTTTTCATAAGCGCCGAAAACTTCTAGAACAGGCACATAGGTTAATGAGGCAATAAAACGCAAAGCTTCTGCCTCTGCAATCTTAACGTTAGGCCCTCTTTTAAGTATGCGGTCAGAGTCTTGCAGGTGCTAAATCGATTTGTTAATCTTGTGCATAGCGATATTCTTAGCTTTCGTCATATCAACGACAGTAGTGAGGTTGGTGTTAAAGATAACGGGCATAGTAGGCTTTTCAGGAAAGGGGGCGCCACTAACAGGGCTATTGTTAGCACAAAGGGAAATGTAGCAGAGACTAAGATAAGCTTACTATAGAGGAGGAGGGGGAGGAGAAGAGGGTGGACAAATTGGGGCCATGACAAAACTTGTTTGCAAGAGACAAAGTTGGAATGTTATGGTGTTGCGGCAATCGAGCGACGCGCCACTCAAAGAAGGATAAACACCCAAGGGCGGGCGCAACGTACCTAAGACGCAGAACAAGGACGACGCACAGGCCACATTAGGCAGCAGGAAAAACACGACAACAGCGAGTATTGTAATTCTTAGAATCAACGCAGTATATCGCACATAAAAGTTAGCCTAACACGCTCTACGACCCGTCAGCACTTCAGAAGCAGCGCCCACTGCCACTAAAGCGTTATGGCGACGCCGTGGCCGCGAAGGGCGACATGGCCTACCCCGCTACGCGAGCATGCTACTTCCCTCGGCACCTTTCTTCACGACGTCCTGGAGGCTATCAAGCGCAACGGTAGCCAAACCGTACCAGCAGACCTCGCCAGAGATATAATCCGCGGCGCGTTAACGCTCGTCTTAAAGACGCAACATACGCCTAACCTAGACACAGTCCGCGACGCCCTCGCAGTCGCACAAACTAAAGCCAAAACCAACGCAGAGCAGACCGCGCAAGCCCTCGACCAGATCAAGAGCGAACTTAAGAACACCGTAGATATCATACAACTAGTAGCTGCCAATATACAACAGAACGCTAGTACAGTAGAAGAGGCGAGAGCGGCAGCCAAAGAGGCGACACAAGTAGGCAAGGCTACCCTAGAAATGGCAAGAGAGATCAAGAACAAAGCACCATAGCAGCAGCAGACGAACGGGCCAACATCGTACGCTATAGCGGCAGCAAGAGGCCCTCCACTAGCAGGTACATATAATACACAGAGTCGTAGAGCACCTATCGTGCAAACACAACGTGAGGTTATTGTAAATATTAGAGATCTACTCACTATGCAGGCCTTACGGGCAATAAACCTACGTAATCTTAAAGCCCACGTCAAGCGTGCAATTAAGCAGAGCGGTAATAAGAACATTATAGGCGTAAAGATCGTTTCCTCTAACTAGCTTAAGAGCGGCGACCTCAGCGTCAAGGCAGCCACCAGCACCGAGGTCGAAGCACTACGGCAGTTCGCAGACGACTAGGCCGCGCGCATCAGCCACGGCGCCAGCATATAGATCCCAACGTACGGCGTGCTCGCCCACGGCATACGCACCAGCACAATAAACATAGACAGGTTCGAAGACAATAGAAGCCAGATCTTGCAGGACAATAGACCATTCATCCCGCAGGCTAAGATCCGCTATATAGGATAGCTAACTAGAGACGCTACCGCCAAGACCGCGTCGACTATCACGATTAAGTTTACTCGACTAGAAGACGCTAACAAGATCATCGACGAGGGCCTTATCTAGTAGAGCGAGGTATTCTAGTGCGAGCGATACGAGCGACAGTACCGCGTAAAGCAGTACTTCAAGTGCCAAAAATACGGCCACATAGGAACCCAGTGCAAGACAGTAACAGCATATAGTTTCTATGCGCAGGAGCACGACACCCGAGACTGTCTAGCTAAGTTAGACCAGACCATAGCCAGGAAGTGCACGCTATGCCGCGGCGAGCACGAAGCGTAGAGCCGACAATACCCTACTAGGAAGGACGAGATAGCCAAAGCGAAGATAGCCTACGACACGCGGCCGCAGTATCACTTCGTACCGGAGATAAGGGGAAGAAACGTACAGCCTAAAATACCTACTACTATTCTTAGAAGTAGGTCTAGCTAAAACACAGCGCTGACATAGCCTACGCAGCCCACAAGGAGCTGGTCGCAGGCCTAACGAGGACAGAAGTGGGCCAACACAGGAACTGCAATTAATACGACAGACTAGGAGAACGCGTTACTAGTAGTGATGAGTAGTTAGCGACTACAGAGAACGATTATGCCGAGCTGTAGAGTATTAGAGGCGATTAGCGCTAACGTGCGGCTAACCTAAAGCAACACCTAGTATATAGAGATTGACTGCGAGACAGAAGTATGAATTAGTATAATATACTAAGTATACTACAGTACAACGTACGTAAGTTAAGAGACATAGTAATAGCGACGCTGCTGCGAGACCCCTAGATACACGAGTACGACATTCTGGCTATCTAGGAACTATGGAGGAACCCGTATATAGCGACTACTCACTACCCAGTAAAGGACGTTTTCTACCTCTGCTATTTAGCGGCAGCAGACGAAGAAGGCCCAGCGAGGGTCTGTTTCTTCGTTAATAAGAGAATTGACTATAGTAGATAGCGCTTTAAGGAACACTCGAGAGACGTCTGCTCTCTCGTCATTAAGCCTAGTAGGAACTAACAAGAGCAGCAGAGTGTGGCGATCCATAATATCTATAATGTAGTAGGAGGTGGAGGTCCCACAGGCTCTACGCTTGTAGACGTCCGCGTAGTCCTCGAGAAGCACAGCAGTAATAAGTAGATCCTGCTAGGCGATTTTAATCTGTATTACCCTTTGTGGGGAGGTTAGAACGTTAGACACATTGACCTATAGGCAGAAGACTTAATAGTAATTATAGAAGACTTTAACCTTAGCAATACGCTAGCGGCCGGGATAATTATATACGAAGAAGCGGCGCGGTAGACTACTATTGATCTATGCCTTGTTACTGTCGGCCTCGTCGACAGGATGATTAGAAGCGAGGTAGACCGCGATCTTGACTACGACTCTGACTATCTACTGATAAGCACAGCGCTTGATATGACGGTGCAATCTATGTAAGAGATAATAAAGAGGAACTAGAAGCGTATGAACGAGAAGACGTACCTAGAAGACCTAAAAGCGACTCTCCCGCGACTACGTAGGCCAATGACTAAGCTAGTACTTGATAACTATATCTGCGACGTAACTACCGCTATTAAGATAGTAGTAGATAAGGCAACTCTATAGATATGCATCTTAGCTTGGGCAAGAGAAGGATGGACGGCGGAATGTAAGATAGTACTAGCAGAGGCGAAGAGGCTTAAAAGGCGGCACGGCTAATATGGTATAGAAGAGACGTGGTAAGCGTATCGAGAAGCGAGAAACCACAAAGCTAGAGTAATTCGTAAAGTAATGACTTAGATGCATAGAGACTAAGTAGAAGAAGTAGTGTAGTCACTAGAGAAGCTATGGAAGCTTGCAACCTGGGCTAAGATAAGAGGTAGTGCGGCCTCTAGGGTCACGCCCGCTATACGACACCTAACGACAGAATACGAAGTTATAGAGCTAGCTAATAAAGCAACTCTGTTCTGAGATGTCTTCTTCCCCGCTCTACTAGCAGCAGACCTAATAGATATATAGGACGCTGAGTACAGCGGCTAGATTGAGTTCCCTGCAGTAATGGAAAAGGAAGTAAGAGACGCGATCTGTATAGCAGCACCTTTTAAGGCCTCTGGGCTAGATAGTATAGTAAATCGAGCACTATAGGTAGGAGAGAGGCTGATTACTAAGCACCTCACAAGAATAGTTAACTGCAGCCTGCGCCTAGGATACTGCCCTTCTTACTTTCGTGAGTCGACCACGGTCGTCCTGCGTAAGCTAGGCAAAGATAACTACACTATACTTAAAGTATACCGGCCGATCGCGCTGCTTAATATAGTCAGTAAAGTTATGGATGCTGTTATTACTTGACGACTTAGTCACCTAGTTAAAATATAGTAGGTGCTGCCTGACACGTATATGGGCGGTAGGAGGATGCGCTCTACTGAATACGCACTGCATGCTGTTACGAGCAGGATCTACTAGGCATGGAACAAAGGTGACGGCTAGGTAGCTAGTCTTCTACTGCTCGATGTCTTAGGCGCCTTCGATAATGTCTCGCATCTATAACTGCTTTATAACTTATAGAAGTGAAAAGTAGATAAGAAGATAGTAAAGTGGATTATAAGCTTTCTTAGTAATAGGTATACTAGAATTATAGTAGATAGCTTTACATCACAAGAGTACGTAATTAACACGGGCATACCGCAGGGCTCGCCGCTCTCGCCCATTCTCTATCTCTTTTATAATGCCAATCTTATAGACGAGTGCAATAGAGAAGCCAACACAACGTCTATAGGGTATATAGACGACGTAGCTATCCTTATATAGGGTAATACAGTAGTAGAGATATATAGTACACTAAGTCGCGTTCTCGAGAAAGTACAGCGATGGGCTATTACCCACGCCTCTGTCTTCGCACTAGATAAGTTCTAGCTAACTTACTTTATACGCTCGCGTATACGCATTAATAGAAATAGAATAGTGTAGACTAGCTAGGGTGAGGTGACGCCTAAGCTAACGTGTAAGTATCTAGGCCTAACTATAGACTTAAAGCTGCAGTGGAAAGAATATATAGAAGAGATTAGACGTAAAGTAACAAAGATAGTTAGCGCGCTTAGCTGCCTTAGAGGCTCGACCTAAGGCATTACGCTTGTAGACATGCGGAGACTGTACGAGGCTATAGCGCTGCCACAGATAATGTATACCTGCTCTATCTAGTTAAATGCTAGCGTTAAGGGCAAAACATACACAAAGAAGATACTTAACGTCCTACAAAGTATACAGGTAAGAGCAGTAAGAGCTATATATAGAGTATACAAAGCTACGTCTAAAGCAGTACTTGATATTGAAGCACACCTTCTGCTAATTAAGCAGCAGATATAGAAGCATAACGCCGACGTTATTATTCAGCTTCTCTTAAGCAAGCACATAGTATATATTTTAAACCTTAAGGTAAGTAGAACATAGCCCGCTAGCGTAAGCATACGCCGCACTAGATACGTTGACTCCTAGCAGAAGATATACGATGATATAAAGAGTCAGCGCAGATAGAATCTTGAGATGCAGGAGCTAATTCTACCCTTTATCACTCCGCCTTAGCGACACGGCCCAAAGACCTATATAGATAAGAGTGCCGACAAAGCACGTAGTCGACACGATAGAGAATATAAGAAGGACCAGAGCCTTAGCATCTACACCGACGGTAGCGGTATAGATAGCGAGATTAGGGCTGCAGTAGTATACCCACTCACACATCAGACCCGTATAGTATACATAGGGCCAGACATAACCTTAACAGTCTACGCCGCCAAGCTATAAGGTATTAGCCTCGCACTGTAAATAGCACAAGAGTACACAGAGCGAGGAGGTAAGAGGCGGAAGGTAGCTATCTATATAGACAACCAGGCAGCTATTTAGTTAGTGGCTAAGGCTAAAGGTTGATTAGGAGCATACATTCTCGCAGACATTACAGAACAGGTCAAGACGCTCTAGGAAATGGACCAGCTAGTGACAATAAGGTAGATCCCAGCCTATACTAGTATCCTAGGAAACGAAGCTGTTGACAGGGCCGCCAAAGAGGCCATAGAATAGAGAGAGGACGGCCGCAGACACCCGCCAGCAGACGCACTACCTAGGCTCTACCCAATTAGATCGACCGTCAGACGCTGGTGCAGGACTTAAACAGAGCGAGCGTGGGCAACCAAGTGGCGAGTAGAGGCGAAAGGTCAAGCAACCTACAGACACACACTATAGCCTTCCAAGAAAGTACTTTAGATCTACGAAGGCCTTACTAAACGATAGAGCGCGCTACTAGTGCAGCTACGCACCAAGAAGATAGGCCTGCGCGACTTTCTCTTCACCCAGAGAGTACCAGGGGTTACCAGCCCCCGCTGCCAGTGCGGGGAGAGGCGACAGACTGTTACCCACATCCTACTCCACTGCAGGACGCTCAAGGACCTCCGGAACCAGGTATTTAGTAACCTCCGTGGACGAAACAACCTCCGGGCTATCCTAAGTAAGCCACAGCTAGCCACCAAAGCTATCCAGTTTATAGAACAAGCGCAGATCCTTAGGCATGTTGGGATCGAAGACGCGTAGACGACAGCCGAGCGCTAAGGGGAGACTATAGGTATCGCGGCCGCAAAACATAAGGCAGCACGCCTCTACGAACCTATAAGCACAGCATACTGTTAGTAGAGCCATTATCTAGATAAGGTGGCAGCCAGATTGTAGATAGTGGTGGAGGGGAAACGGCAGGCCTCTAGGAACAGCTAGCTCCCATAAGGGAGTGACGTGGGGCGGCGCGGATTAACGTCTGCGCGGCGTCGGCTGTTGGCTACGCCAGCCATGCCGGGCATAGCTGCGGTAAAAACGCGGCTGAAACCGAGTAGGACTAAATCAATCAATCAATCAATCATTAGGCAGCAGCGTAACGCTTAGGAGAGTACACCCTATTCGATAACGACTACTAGCGCTTATTTAGATTTCAAAACTCGAATACTCGAGCGCTGCTAGCAATTATTTATTTACCTACATGTCAGAGTTGGTAGGCGTGAGGCTAAAAAATGCGAAGGCGCGGGTATAGCATTTACTAAATACTAGGCATCAGTCAGGCTTGCGCTACATTCGTAATAACTCCATTCAGCCGCTGCGAGGTCAAGCCAAAGTATCACGCAAGGCTGGCGGCTAACAAGGACACACGATACCACTGTAGCTGTTATATAGAATCTTAGCGGGCGGGTTTACTTCAGCCCCGCAGACCTTGGCCATGCATCCAGTCAACTCCTCATTCTCTGCTTAACATAGTTTAGATATTATAACTGCTATCCACACAGGCTATGCTAATATTAATTCTCGTATAAAACCTTACTACCACCGTTACGACCGAACATTCGATACCGGTCGAGCAAGAGACCAGCATTATAATGCATCGGCTCATCACCACATTTGCGATGTCTGCCAGTTCAACAGCTCCTCTTATAACGAGTTAGTACAACACAATCGCAGCACGCTTTATAGGATTATATGCAATAGTTATAACGATGATAGGTGGTGGATACCGGATAGCCAAGCGTACAAGGACCATTTAAGGAATGACAATGTGTGTACGACATGCGAGCGTCATTTCAATAGCCTCAACAACCTGCGACATGTAGGTATCACCGTGTTTAAACGCACTACTCGTACCCTAATTCAGTCCTCGCTCTAATAGCTAATAGCACAAGCTAGTGCACCTAAAACCTTCAGTCGAATGCTATGGTTGCACTCGGTCCTTTACTACTTATTCTGGGATAATAATCCATCTAGAGTCTAGGACGTGTACGTCTAGTATTGATATTCTAGACTTAAACAAGTCAGCTACAATTTATTATCAATGGCAGAAGTTCCTGGATGGGGAGTACCGTGACGATATCCTTAGCTGTTATGATTTGAAGGAAGAGTACGATGGCGCGGTTTATCCGTTCAGGTGTCCAGAATGCGACACTACGTTTTCGAAACTTTCAGGACTCTTCCAGCATATAGATAGTAGGTCTTGCGAACAGAGGCTAAACGGCGGGCCGATAGCTAAGCTTATAAAGTAGTTGTCAAATAGACATGCCTAGGAGGCAGATTTAGAAGAGCTACAGCAAGGCCATATTTCAATCAAATAACGTTGTTTATATTAAACCAGCTGCTCGCACTGAAATTATACACTACACAAAGTAGAGTAGAAAACTTACTTAGCATTACTCCTCCTAGAGGGGCTTAGAAAGCGCTTCCACTTAGCTCAACAGTTTGGCTCATCGCATCGCTACAACCACAATTGCCCCCAGCCACGATGTGGAATTATCAAAGTAGCAACACTAACTAGCCAAACGAACAGAGTAAGTACTACCAAAACTCATTCCTTTAAACAATCACATATTCTTGCCGCATTGCCACACAGTAATCATTCCGAAAGTTCAGCAGAGAACATATAATAACGCCTCTAACTAGCGTATCTCTAGCCAAACTAATATACGAATCGATGCATAGCCCCTAAATAGAGTTTTCCTCGCAACCTTTCTTCCAACATTGCACTATCTAAAAGTTATTCTCGTCTGCCAATCTGCATAGAATAAGTAGCGCAGTCTTCTCATCCACTCGCTTACTAGCACAATAATTTAACGCCATATCCGATTAATATAGAAAGGGAGGTAACATGATAGCTGTATAGAAGTACATGCCTAGTAACAATTAGATGACGAGATAAAGGTCAAAGAAGACTTACCATAAAAATACTTTGTCGTAGTTTAGTGGAAGTGCTTCTACCAGTAAGTGAGAAACTAGAGGTAAAGATCGCGCTACAAAATTAGCTAGATGCTGCTGCAGCATTTGTAAAGACGAAGGTACGCAATAATCGCATGTATTCTTCGTCTCTATCTCCAGTCTCAGATCCTAAGTTCTTATAGATCTCCAGTTGCTTGTGTGAGAGTGCCGAAGAGAAAAGGGATGCAGCAGCGAAACGAGTTAGTAGTGCCGACTCGTAAGCAGAAGATTTAGTTTAGCCCCTACTTATATTTAGACAACCTTAGGTACGAATTGAGTTTATCTACGTAACAGCGGAAGCAATGTCCAGTATAGTTAAGACCGCCACCAGATGTACCGCCTATATGCTCCAGGGAGGAGAGATGAAGATCTGAAGCATTTGGACGAGCTGAAGTTCCTATTAGTTAGAAATGAGCTCTTAAGGTAGGTAGACTGTCTTACGTTATTACTAGTAAGAAGTTGGAGATTATATATAATAATTGCGTTAAGCCAGGAGTACATCTCTGCTAGATAGGGTTTAGTCGCAATTGCAATAAGTCCAGCAATACCTAGGCCTACTAAACTAGTACTAACAATGATTCCTATAATCTTTTCTCAACGATAATCGTACTTAGAGACCTGGACTTCCGCTCTGGATAGATTTCTGATATCGAGGTAAGTGAGCGTGCTGCTTAGTATAGGTCCGACTGAAAAGTAAATCGCAAGGCTGACTGATACGAAGGGTGCCATAGTGACAAGAGTTGGTGCAGTACTAAATATAGGGGGCTCGCACCTTTTGTACATGCTTTACTTCGTAAGCTGGTTCCGTAGAGTGGAGCTTAGGGAGAGTTACACTGAGAAATAAGTCTAGACAGCTTCAGGCATAGCTATGGAAAACTCGATGAACTTGTAGTGTTCGACCTTGTTAGCCAAGAAGATAGGACTTGGAAGTAGTTGTGATGGCTGTAGGTGCCCGCATCATTAGGAGTGTTATATCGTATATGCAGCCGCACAGCCTCCGTCAAGGCTTCCAGTGGATGCTATTATATGCTCTAGAAGTCTATATATTCTCTCTACATCGTCTTTCCTAAGATTACTAGGACGTTTGAGATTTAGATTGACTGAAGTTCGTGATATTAGAGAAATTGGCAAATCTCTAAGACTTAGACCATGTTCAAATGCAGCAGGATGTTTCTAGGAACACATCGTTTCTAGGAGCAGAGCGTTTCTAGGAGCAGGGTGTTTTTGGGAGCAGAGTGTTTTTGGGAGCAGAGTGTTTCTAGGAGCAGAGCGTTTCTAGGAGCAGAGCGTTTCTAGGAACGCTGTGCTCCTAGAAACACCCTGTCGCTATAGTTAGAGAAGTATCTTTCCGCAAGCCCCTGCAAATACCAGCACATTTCAACTACCACACAGCACACATAAATAGTTAGAGAAGTATTCTTCCGCGAACCCCTACAAATACCAGCATATTTTAGCTACTACACCGAAATCACCCTCATAACCTTATCCGGCCGATTTACCAAATACTATTCGCCTTTCAGCTCAGCTGTTGCCTTTTCGTTCTCCTAACTGTATTTATTAAGTCTACTTGCCGTTTATGCTGCAAGTGGATAGGTCAAGGGCACGACCCCTTCCATAATAGATTTAACTAGAGAATCCACCGTTCGACTAGCCCTAATACCTTTTAGGTACGCATGTAATAGGTACGTTAGAAGGATCATTAGTTCTTGGTCTAGTAGCTTCTTAGGATCGTTTCTAGAGCTTTATTAGAAGATTTAGCAAATAACATAATTACGATATATGTTTCTCACATATAAATCTCTAGAATATGGCTGTAAGTCAAAATTATCCCAACTCCAAGCTAGGATGTCACGTATAACCATCTCTTACCAATCCTCGTATGCCATTTAAGGCTGTTCTCGCGTTTTCGTTTAGCTTGTGCAGTGAGGTTCTGATACTGCGACCCATATATTCTTTCTAAGATGACGGACTTTACTATACTAGCTAAACCCTTACCCGAAGAAAGACGAATAGGTGAGCTAGAGTTATATCTAAGCTCAATAAGTTTCTGCTCATATTGATGATATAATAGAACCCTTGCCATTCTTAGTTTGATAGGTTCGACCAATGAGTCAGCTGCGATCGTTTCAGCACACTGGAGGCTTTTAAATATCTTTTCTATCAAGGAAAATCCAGTCACTAGGTTGCCGGTAGGAAGACGAGACCATGGATCTTCTGCATCCCAACTACGGCAGAAACTATTGATAAAATCTTTTGCATCTTCTCGCAGAAACGAATCACCAATCTCAACTACATACTAGATCTCTTCGTATAAGGACCTATAGAGGCGGCTCAGCTGGTCGTACAAGTAAAGCCAATGTGTTACTATTGCGTCATCTAGTAAGGTAAATTCCGTCTCCTATACCGGGCTTGTACTCCAGTTAGACGATAGAACGGATGGAGATACGGAAGGCATCCTTGACTAAGTAGCTAAGTGTAGGGAAGGGACATCATTTAGGATAGGTTCTGGCCCTCTGTCTTCCGCAGTCTCGAAATTCAAGGATTCAGTTGCATCTAAAGGAGTTCCTAATCCTTCTATGGCCGTAGATTCTTCCGGCGTTATGTATCGGAATACGTATTCTACGCTGTTGCTCCAACACAGCGCCTTTCTATCAACCAAAGACGCTCGACTAATTTCGTTATAGACAGAACTATACTGACTTGCATCTAGTATTCTAGGATAGAACTAGACTCCTTAAGTATCAGATAGAGAAGTTTCCATTGCTTCGTTCGAGTCCTCACGAAAGGAATGCTCAAATACTAGCTTATAAGGGGAAAGCTTAGCCTAGATATAATCAAGACGTTTGCCCTGTATAGTTACAAGCAACGTTAAAAACGCCTTGCCTAGATAGATGAACTAATAATTATCAGTCGGGCCTGCCTGGACCATGATAGCGTACATCTTCTCCCGTTTCTTCCAACCTAGTCCAGCTATAGCTCAGTAGAGCTTCGTTCGCATCAGGGCTCTATCAAATATCAGAAAAAATAACTCGAAACGATAAGGGTACATGCTAGGATAAGAGAGCGCATAATATATAAAAGAATATGGCGTATCACTACGCGCAATATAGGATAGAGCACTATGTTTAAGGAAAGACGATATAGGAAACTGTGCAGCGCATCAGGAGGGGTAGGAGAGAAAGACACAAAGTTTATTACCACTCTAACATTACTGACGACAGCAACTTTTAACCCACATACAGTCAATGTCGTTTTAAAAACAACCAATTTCTGTCCCTATGTGCCGAAAACGACCAATGGGAGCGTAACGGTCGTAGATAGGTTGTCGGACGCATAGATGCGGGGTTGTGTGGCAAGAATAAATGTGCATATATTTTGATTAAATTTTCCGATGCTCCTCTTATATGTATATGATCGTTGCGGCGGTTCATCATATAATTATAATTTCTGCAATGGCTCGGTTGCAGTTGCTGCCTTCGCATTCTTGCATATACTGCGATAGTCCGCTATAGCTACAATGTTCTACAATAGCCGCAGACGCATCCTTACAGCGGCTGCGATAGAAGTCTGTGATCCTTTCAACCCGATTGGTTACTCTATAGACATAGAGACGGATGTCAATTAATATGCGGCCACCTCTATAAGTAGCTCAAGCTAACCTACAAAATACGTGCAACCCAACCCTCAAAGACTTGAAAATCGCGGAACTGCTATCTAAGCAACATGCCAATCAGGTGGAGACCCTCTAAACCTATTCGAACGTTCATTAATAAACACGACCATACATATTTCAAAGACAGAAATCGTTATTGTAAACGCAGAGTCTTTAATGATAAGGGCCGATTTAGCAATCAAATACCTAAAGACAACAAGCGCGAGATATACGACGTTGAGGGGACCTTAGAGGTTCAAAGGCAACTCTTATCTAAGCTAGCCGCGGTTGAAAATCAAGTGACTAGAGAATCTGAAAACAGTGTGCACCGAAGGCGTATTAAGGCTCTTAAAACAGACACGGTTCAAGCGTTACAGAAGACTTGGAATCAAAGTAGTCAGTCTACTGCCTATCGAAAGTCACTTTATTTGATGCGTTGACGCAAGATCGATTGTAGGTTCGATAAATGTAAAGAAAAGTAGCGTTAGGTGTGATGATTTGTATTTATTAAATACTTGATCTCTTGTGATCTCTCTAGTTTTACGTGATATTGTTAATTATGCTGGTGAAGCTCAAGCTGGATAGAATATTTAACTCACCATGTAACTAGTCCTAGTCCTGAGACTAGAACCTAAGCTGCTCTAAGAATAGATTTCCGGGCGTCAACATCCATGCACTTAGTCATGTTGCTGAGCGCGCTACGTATCCACAAGTGCCCAAACAATTTCTTTTTCACCAGCCCGGCGTGATGTTGCAGTCTAGGATATTCTGCACTTATACCCTTGCTCGCCTCTTCTCGCCCGCCACCACGGGTTGTCTGGATTAAACTATTGAATGCTTGGTTTGGTGTCACCGAGAGTAAAAGCCCAGGAGAGAGCAAGGCCTGAGATTTAAGTTCACAATACGTATATTGTCGCAGCCTGTGCAAAGCTGCAAAAGCAATAACTTCGGCTGAGCCGAAGCAACACGCCACTGCAACAGCAACAAGAACGCACCCCGCACCTACGCATGCGACATATATGTATGCAGCCAATAAGGCTGAGACGTCTTTCAGTTTTGCCTTGCCGCCCTTTCGGCCCTTCACCGGTTGCCTCTCTGCGCGACATTCACTTTCAGATGGCTCAAGATGCGGTACCTGCCGCTAACGCGATTGTATGTGACCAAGCCCTGTTATTGTCACCGCTAACCCAAAGATAGGCAGCGAATATTATTATAGCGTTTATTAAATACTCTAAATATAACAGATACAAAACCAATATGCCAAAGCAATTCTCATCTAACGACTCCAACCTGCTCAGGGAACTGCAGGTTCGGGCCATTAATGCTGGTGCTGTGTCGAAGGTGAAAAGAGACACGATAGTCAACATGGCAGCATGGACTACCAAAGGCCAGCCTTGTGTACACGTCAGCTTTCGCCCCATCCTAAGAGATAACCTTAATTACTCAGCATTTCTACCCTTATCTTTGGTAGAGAAATGCGGTCATGTTGTGGCAGGCGTATGTGTAACGTCCCTGGATCACTACCGGCACTTAGACCAACACATAAAGTCCCTCTCTTTAAGTTTAGATAATATTCTAGGATCGCTCTTGGAAAGGTATTTGCATAGGTATACGTTCGAAACTCTTACTAATCAAGATAGGCTCTGGCTAAGATTAGAGAACAATGTCAACCACGATAGTCGGTAAGTATGTGCTGCTAATATACGCGTTAAGAGTCCTAACATATCGACTGACCCTTCTAGAACACCTCGAATCGCTCATACAGTACGGAGTCAGCCACTTGTCTGCCCCGTATATCGATAATCACGAAAGAAGTAAAAGAAGAAGAATCAGGGACTGCAAAATTGTCCTTAACACAGCGACAAAGAAGAGCACAATTAAGTAACGCCTGCGACCACTGCCACCGCTTGAAACGTAAGTGCAAGGCCCCTTTTCCCTATCGAAATAGTAAAAGGTGCGGTATCGAGTGCATTAAGCGGAAAAGAAAGCCGAAGGTCAGACCGATAATCACGTGTTACTCGATAACTACCACTATACTCAATCTATAGGTGGGCCCCAGCCCAGGGGCCAGTCAGGTTTTCCATTGATACGCAGTGCGGGGATGGCACGTCTCCAGAGATGCGAAAGGACTGAAATGATCCAAGTTAGGATGGTCCTGGAAGTTTAACTAGTTTTATGGATAACTATGTGTAGCGGACTTTTAGAGCAAGCGCAATTTTCAATACACTTATCCTTATTAGAGCATCAAACAACACACTATGTTTCCGCCACTTCGATCCTATGCCACAAATTTACATACCTTCTTGATAGAATAGTCTTATTTGACTGCGCTTCCTCACTAGCCCTCCGATATCCGATAAGATACTTAAGGTCGCAAACAGAAAGGGGTTATTGCTAGAGGGTCGTTTAATGGCGTTAACAAAACGATTAACAACATTACCAACATTGCAGAGATAATGGTCGGTGGCTAACAGCTTAGAGGGAAGATATTCATAACTAGTTACTGTCTGTAAAAGAGAGCTTTTATAGTTTAGAAATCAGAGGCGCCGAAGGTCCGAACCACCAACCTGTATCGGGACATAGTGCGTCTCTTCACTTAGGGACGCACCTTATTCCCTACGTAGCAGGACGAATTTTAGCCAGACTTTCGGCAAGCGCTGTATAGAGATAGGGCATAATGCGCTTCACAGGAGCGATGCTTCGCTCGTGCGTGTCATCAAGCCTACTGAGCATGAGAGCTCTCATGCGAACCTCCTCAGACCTTATTCGGTGTGGCGAAGGAGGACCAGTCATTCAACACGTGGGGCGATAGTGGGCAAGGCTATCTGGTTATCTGTAAGTATGTGGTGGCACCAATTGTAGCATGCCGGGTGTCTGTGTGGCTCGCTTGAGAAATGAGACCGTTTAGCTCGAGGGCTCGTCGATGTGGGATGTTGCAGACATTGTCGGGTGGTAATGAGCTAACCAGGAATTCTATCGGTGACTTCGTATATACGTGATGTAACTATAATGCTGAATGTGGTGCCTAGGCTCCGCCATCGCGTCTTGCGTTGTTGCTTTGTGAGTAGATGGCTGCTGCTGCATTTAGTAGACGTGTTATATTAAGTAAGCAGCTTGCTCGCAAATTCTGCTGTCTGTGCCAGCCAGAGCCGCAATAGTAGCTCTATATGTGCCAAACCGACGCGAGGGGACGCGCGATGACCTGCAGAGACCATTGCGGCTGTTAGTGGGTGTATTTCTAGTCCTTCGTGATGATAATTCTAAAAAATTGAATACTCGCTGTTTAGTTATCGTGTTTCAGTTTTGAAATAACTACAGTTAGCAAGTTCAAGTGGCAAGATTCTTTCCTAACTAGAGAAAGACTAGCGTAACAAGCAAGACACTCTAGAGTGCTCCTGCTTGTTACGCTAGGCCAGATGGAGTTGTGTCTAGGATAAAATAGAGGTCACCAGCTAAAAGCAAGCATATCCGTTAAGGAATTCATTAGCCCACCATAAGATAGGCTATTGTTTTGTATCAGTACAGCAATTAGCGATTGCGGCTTCACCCTTACACGCAGCTGCGTAACGATTTTGAACAACCCTGCCTTCTATACATAGCTTAGCGCGAGCAGTCAGCTGCAGAGCAACCAACATGATTGGTGAATTTTCAGTCTTATTATGACCAAACTTGTAGGATGCTGCCTGCAGTAGTGAAGCCGCAATCGCTATAGTCTTATCGCTGTAGGTGACGCTGTGAACGATGAGTTAGCGTATTATGCTGTTAATTTAAGTAAGGTTTGCTTATGCGACAGCGGTTAACGCTGTATCAACGTAATTGTTAGATAATATTGTCAAGGTTGCTGATATCGTAATTGTTTCGCCACACCATTAATTTCTAACCATAACATTATAAGAAAGTAAGTAGGAATCCGTAACTCGTACATTAAAGCTAGACGGTGGAAAAATCAATATATACATACGCGCCCTCTAGCGACGAACAGGCTAGTGACTAACAAAGTGCTTCGCATCATTCGTCGACCTTTAAAAGTAACGAGACTCCAGTACAAGGCAAACATACGAATAGGATCTATAATCGTTAGTAGAGGAATCTTATAGTAAGTCTACATCGTAAAAAGAGCGTAGATCTATAAGAAGAAGCAAATACTTATATTAAGACCTACTCTAGATAGTAACTTAGACCTTACTCTACCATTTAATGCACCTGTATTGTATGCAATTGTATCCCAAGTCGTTAGAGCTAAAGCGTTAAGGGCAAAGACGATTAGAAGATAGCTAGCTATATCTAGGTTTTTTTGGAAGCGAGATTGGCGCATGTATATACGCATGGCGATAACGGCGTAGACATAGACCAGTAGAATCCATTCCAAACCCTTATTTTAGTCAGCTATGTCTCGTAACTACTAAACTTATTAGTAGCCTACTATACAATACACCCCGTTAATAATGTATATCATTCTAAATAATAAGACTTATAAATTATATATGTGCACGAGCGTATGATGTGGGTAAAGGACAGACCCAAGTTAGAGTGATAGGCAAAACTGCGCTATAGGTGATAAATAACGGCCATGCAATACTTGTAAAACACAAATATATATTATGTACATATATAAGGGTGGAAGGACCTTCAAGATGTATTATTATGTTCGTCTAATTACTGCGGCCTCGGTATGGATGATCCGGCGCAGGCCTGTATCAAACCGCCAGGATGTACATAGTGACGCGTGCAACTTACTGATGCGTGCAGTTTACTGATGTGTATTATAGATAGTTAAGTATTATAGTTGGCTGATTGTTTGATAGAATATATGACTAAGACAAAAACCGATTTATATTCAGTAACTATATAAGATTTTATCTGTCTATCTGTGTAACGGCCTTTTATCTTTATCTCAACTCTTTTTGTTCTAGGATCTTAATTCGTGCTGTCTTTACTCTGCTATAGCTGGATCTCCGACGTTCTACTTAGAATCCACCGCCCCTAGGTAGTCAAGGTTTCTGCGACAATAACTGGACACATATCTAAAGAGCCACACAAGACAACTAAGACTCATAACTGAGAGGCTTTTGGAAATGCAACAAACAGTGCATGTAGCGTTTGATGGGTGGCCGGAGGAATATAGGGAGTGGGAGAAGTGGGCTTTACTATCTGAACAAAAAGGCCGATGTTGGGAAAGTTTAGGACAACACAGATTAGCGGAGACAGCGCACCGAAAAGCATTACTATTAAGTACAGAGATACTAGGGCCTGAGCATCTATTTACGCTGGCGAGTATGCATAACTTAGCGTTAGTACTGAATAGCCAGAAAAAGCATGAGGAGGCTAAGGCCATAAATGAGCAGACACTAGCCCGATACAAGAAGGTGTTAGGAACTGAGCATCCCTCTACATTAACAAGCAAGCATAGCTTAGCTTGGGTTTTAAATAGTCAGGGAAAGTGTAAGGAGGCTGAGGAAGTAAACTGGCAAACGCTAGTGCTGCGAGAGAAGGTGCTAGGGCCTAAGCATCCAGACACGCTGGCTAGTATGAGCAACTTAGCGTGGGTACTGAGTAGCCAGAGAAAGTATAAGGAAGCTGAAGTGATGAACCGGCAGACGCTGGCGCTACGAGAGAACGTATTGGGGTCTGAGCATTTGGACACGCTGACTAGCGTCTATTACCTTGCCTATTCTCTTGCTCAGCAGCATTATATAGATGAACCTTTGCGTCTATATCAGAGGGCATCCACTGGATACGATCTCATCCTTGGAGAAGGGCATCCTACTACCTTAGCTTGTTGCCAGCATTACGCTAATTTATGTGCGTTGCAAGAACAGCAGCTTATAGGACCATTTTTAAAGAAGATATCAAGACTATCACGCGGACTTGCCAAGATTGTTATTAGGAGCTTTAGGTTTTAAAGAGGGCTGAATGATTGTTTGTGTTATCGTATGTAGACTGTAAATTGAGTGCTTAAGTGCAGGATTCAGCTTTTAGTAGAATTCAGGTTTCACTAATACATACTCAATCTTAGATATAGCGAGAATGACGTAACTAAACTATTTGATATACTATTTCTATACTTTTACTAGGTAAATTATATTAATCAGGGACTATGTCTCGCAACGACTCAAAGATGTCTGCTTAGAGCATAAAAGCTATAGAGCCTATATAGATAGCGATTGTGAAGACAACTTTAAACACTAGTGTCTCTCGGTGTTCTATCAAACTTGAGGAACTGGACAAAGGAACGCTAGGCTCGGTCGGCTTAGAGAGATTCCGGGTTGAATCCGTTCCGTTGTCCCATAAGGGTAAAGGCAAACGGAGGGATGGGTTGGTTGGGAATAGAGAACCTTGCGAACCTATCGCACAAGTTGTAGTATGTACGATTGTAGAAGTCGTAGTTGCCATCCCAACACATGCCCTACTAGTGACATTGTTCGTGCTATTACTCTCTCGCCAAAGGGATGACGCATCTGAAAAACCTAGAAGTACTAAAAAGTAGAGGGATATCATCGTGAAAGTTGGAAGCTTCTCCTGCGATACTGTGGCTGCTCTTTTAATATTTATTGTCTGAATAGACTTGAAAAATCGATAGCCATCTAAAATTGTGTAGTGTGGTTTTGTTAGGACCAGTAGAAAAGTACTGACTACCCATTCTCTACACAGACTTGGCGCAACTACAAATAGAGCTGTATCTATGGAGAATATATACAACAGTAGAACTGCAAACTTCTTATGAGCATTCACATGGATTCAATCGTCTCTAAAGTACGCGTTGAGCTCGTTGACCTTGCTGCAACTTATGCAGCTGATAAGCACGAAAATGTTACGATTAGTCTGATTTCTGACTTCTAGCGAGCCTTATTTACTATCCTCGACGAGGGTATCCGAATTAAGGACCTTGAACAGTCCAAGGAGCTTAGAGACGAAATGATGTACCTGTTCGAGGATGAATATCCAACAAAACCTGCATGGCCGTATCTCAACTAATTGAAGAAGCAGGATAGGTGTTTTACTGAGTTAGGCTGTAGATTTAAGCACGGAGCAGCGCTCTATAAGTCTTCTTCTTGCTAGGAACACTTTGTGTGCGAGAATCACAAGTCAAGTCCTTGTATTGCAAAACACGGGAAAGTAGCAGGTTAGAAACACCAGGACGAGAATGATACGAAAAATATGAGAAAGACAGCTCTAGATATAGCAAGTGCGAGCACAGAGCACTTAATTGGAGGAGAGCCAGGCAATATAATGCTTGAAAATAAGAAGTTAGACGAAACGAATACAGAGAGAAGGCTTCTAGGTACTGGAGGCCTAGATAACGAGAAACCACCCAAGCCTGTAGTGAAAGACGCCGTAAGCATGGCAAACCCCTCTGAAGATTTCTATTATTCTTGGGCAAATGACTTCCACTATAATACAGACGGTTCGTCCAGCGATGGGAGCGAACTGGACGATGATGTTGTGAACGGAGAAGAGAAGAATTGGGAGAACGCAGACATTGGAAGATAGACATTGTAAGATAGTTAAAAATTAGAACTAAATATTTAAAATAAATTCTAAGCTCTTCGTAGTGTGGTAAGCTCGAAATGTGTTGGAAAGTAATTGCTGTACTCTATCGAACGTGAAGAAGATGGTGTGTGGAATTTATTAATTATTGTTCGAGTCATCTGATCTGCATATATCCAGTTGGTCGAGCAATACATGGTCAGTTAGCTAGCAACTACAGTAGTTAATTAATTAACTATTTAGTTGTCATTACCTAGTTGTCACATAGTTTAGCTTCCGATATCTACTTAATTTGTAACAATAATACTCTGTAGTGAGTGCTTGGAGGGTTTTGGAAAATCATAGTTGACGAATTGCGTTGCGCCATCAACATATACACGAACCTGAAAATATTTATCTTAGATTTTTATTAACTAGTAACGATTGGTTAATAAATTCAGCTCTTTCTTATATATATAATAAACATTGAATTATTTATTCTACAAAGTAATATTACCGCAAAGACCTGAACGGGGTCCAGCACAGCTTTTATTAGTAACTTCTGCTGGCGGTAGTAAATTACATTGGCTTGCTTGTGATAGTGATTGTAAAGAAAAGAATGGACAATCTTTAATTAGGCCTGATAAATTTGTGTAACTACTAATTGCATGCTGCAATTTAGCTATGTTCTAACTATTCTAAAAGTCGCTGTAGTAGCTAGAACCTAGGATCAAATAAGTCAAAGTTTTATTCGCAAATACTTCTTTATACCTGCTTGGTCGCTATTACTAAGTAGGAATCGCCTAGAGACGTTACGAAACATAGAAGTGTCCTAAATCGTTTTAAAGAATAGGGCTGGGATCCTAGTCTGGTAATCTGCAGGATATGTGCCCTCTATAATAAGATCTGGATAGGTAACGTGAGACTCATGGTCGTTAGAATTAAGAGAAATGCTATCCTAACATGATGGAAACATTAGCTTAAGGCGAATGCCATCAGCGCAGTTTGAATTAATAAAAGACTTATTTAGAAGTAGATAGCGAGTTAAAGACCCCTCAGCAGCGCCACTGTAATTTAAACAATTAAACCTAATAGCTTTTTTAGCGAGTGCTTTTAGTGTTTTCTCTTCTGGACCCTATAGAGATTGTAGTATGTCTAAAGGGGGAATAAAGTCATTTTGCTTACTAGCATTACTGGTAATTATTCTAAATCCTGGTGGAAATGCTATGATTTTATCTCTAAAAAGAAAATAATAACTATAATTAGTATAATTATAAGTACGAGATTTTAAATATTATTCTTAATACTAATATAAGTATACTACTGATTTGTGGAATAATCTCTATAGTACCATTTATATGCAAAAACATAAGTGGTGGCGTCTAGTAAGTAGATATGTCTTTAAGTACTGTACATATTATGCAATTAGACTGAACAAGGTTATTATAGGACGACGAGAAATCTAAGTCTAGACTAACGATTAGATATTGAAACTGTAATCTTATGCTTAACGTACTCTGTACTCTATGAAGCGTGTGTGTATGTTAGGAAGGGAGCTCTTCTGAGACGATTGGATCAATTCGAAAAACTCCTAATCGAGAGTAGTAAGGAAGCCGCCAAAACGCTCTAGTAATTAATGCAAACACGCTAATAAGTGAAATATAGTGGATTTTTATCTTATAGAGCTGTTTATATTTAAGAAAAAAAGCTTAGATTTTAATCTATAAGGTTTGATACACTTTAGCATAGTTGCCTTAATATAACTCTTCCTAACACTATCTAGAAGTGAGGGCTCTGTTTAAGCCTTTATTTAACTGTTTACCTTCTTCTACTTTGTGAATTGCGCAGGGTAAAGAAGTTGCTGTTCTTTAGTTAAGTCTGTATACGTAACATCTTCTGGTAGTTCAAAAAGTTCTAAGAAGTCTTTGTGAAACTGTTGCTTTAGCGACATTCCTGGCGTTTTCTTAATAGAGGTCTTCTCTAGTTCTGTCTTCGGTAGAGGTGTAAACTGACGTTATGGAACTAGAAGTTCTATAAGCGTCGGAGTTACTGAGTGTTTAGTGGTAGCAAGCAGCGACTTGTTCCAGCGGGATACTGCTTTCGTCTCGTGTTTTAGCTTACGGAGTGGATTAGGTCTGCCTAGAATATTACTTATCTATCTTTTCTTAAATTAATTTTTAATTTTGATAGCAATGTTATAAATAGTAATTGATTTTTGCTAGTTATCGATTCCCTCTATTAGAAGTTTTATTGTTGACCTAGTTTCGTGACTGAAACCTGATTTATTTTTAAGATTATATTGTTTATAGAGTTTGGGATTTAGATAAACAAAGTAGCGGGTATGTGGTCGTTTTCCTTTGAAGTTGGGCGCTAGTACCTCTACCTCGGCGTTATGTCCAACGCCTATTTTGGAGTCCTAGTACACTAATAAAATCCTTACTTAGCTAAGTATGTTTATAGGAAGTGCTGTTTTTTTATCTCTATGATGTTGCACAATCTTCTTAACAATGCGATTGCTACCTTGGGTGACATCTCGTTCTTCCTTATAGTCGGACCCATTCGGGAGAATTGATTCAAAACGAGCGCTTAAACCCTTCTTAGATTCAAATCTAACACAGTATCGAGTCTAAGAGCTTCTCTAAATGTGGCCAAACACTCCTTTAGGGAGATGCTGCAGTGAAGACTCCTCGTGAGAATTATTGATATTGATGTTCTATGTCATATTGAGATTATCCACAAGTTCCTGAGTAAACGTTTTTGACTCTTCTGCAAGCTCTTGTTTCATTTTACTATGTCCTAATGAACCTTCTTAATGACTTGCATATCTCTTCTTAGGGTCTAGCGCGTGAATTGCTGCATCTAGCTGCGTGGCAATTGGCTTGTTAGCAATCACCTTCCCATGAGTCATATGATTAGTGTTACCTGACTCCGTATCAGTTTCAATTAGTTCACCATCCATTGGTTTAGTAGATCTAGATCCAGCTCCAGTAGTATGGTTGACGCTAATTTAGGCCGTAGCACTAGCATACTTCCCGATCTCTGTCTTTATCTCTTTCAACTTTGCTTCGTCTTCTTCGGTAAACATTCCCTGGTCCCTTGTCTCTTCTAGTTTATCATATTCTTCTTGGAGCTTTCTAAGTTTATCGTCATAATGTCCTATCGTACTTTTTATGCTCTTCGTATTTTTCGTATTTTTCGTATTTTTCATACCTTTCGTGGTGATCTTCTCACCCTTAACATAAGTGTTACTAGTCCTAGTGATAGGCATTATGTCTATAAACAATAGATTCTTAAGAAAATTTCGTAGTATCGGGAAGCTTATTTATATATAGCAGAGAGAAATTAACACAGGTTCAATAAAATAATATAATTAAATTATTACAGCACTTTACTCAAGAGCATCATATAATAATTCGAGAGACACCTAACATTAAGACATTTTACATCATTTATTAGTATTATCTAGCAATATAAGCAAGTTTACAATGCCTCGTATACTCAAAATACTTCTATAGGAGTCACATAGCGTCCCAGAAGCTGACATAGTAGATAACTAGTCACTAATTCATCTTGCTATCTTAAAGAACAACTATGTAGTTACATTATGATGAAATATTTTAAATATGACCCTTACTTTTCAGCGGTTTTCAGCAACTGTCCTAAGAGTGCTTCCCCTTGATTAAAATCAGGAATAGGCGGCGTAGACAAAAGTCTAGGTAAAGAAGACTTAGTTTTGGCTAGCAGCGATTTCCGCAGTGCGGGCTTCCTGGGGAGGAAATCTTTGCTAGTCCTTATTATAGGAACCGGGTATATAGACTCCTGTTTTCATTAGCTATGCCTATGTAACAAGATGTTCTATAACCTGTAAGTTGTGTAGAGGATGGTGGCTAGTCTATTCTTGTTAGACTTGAATTGTAAATATATAACTGACTGTTGTCCTTCTGAATACATATCCACACCCCTACTTTGTATCGGTCACTTATTTTATGACCACGACGAATGAAATTGTTTTTCCGTTTCCGGAAAGACTCTTGCTCCAATCTTCTAGACTTTATGATGTAATAAAATGCATATTGCAGGATACTGAGCCGGCTATTTATACGCAATAAGCCCGCACTGACTATTTCTACTACAACGTTATATTAGTAAGCTTAGACCCTACGTTTGACGCATCTAGATATGGATCGCTAATGGAGCCCCTCAATCTGGTACTCTATGCTATTCTTAGTGCTTATTGCCTTCCTTATTCTATGTTTTAGTACTTGTCTAGTGTTTTAGTGGCTTGCGGCACTTATAACGGATGCTATTCTTAAGTATCTAGTGTACTCTACTACTAGCCTATTTGGAATATCTAAATGGCGGATATTAGTAAAGGATGCGATGTTCCCCCTACTATATGTGAGCGCTAATGGCATTTGTATGGGTTGGGGTGTAAAAGCGGCTAAAGAGCTCAGCAGCCGGTCCGCTTTGATGCTTGTAATAAATCTTATACTTCTTCTCCCTGGCTCGAACGTAGTAGCTGATATTCTGTATATGTCCTTGAAGGTATATTATTAAACTTATAGTTTGATTGGACTGGTTGCTCTGATACAAACGTCTATTCACGCTGGACGAGAACTCACTGCCCACGGGTGGACTAACAACATTAATATGATAAGTGGGATAGCGGTATGTGTATATGTATTGATGTTTATAATATATTCTTATTTACCTAGATATTCTGCTGCGTGGGACTAATGAGTGTTACTTCTCTCTCTATCTTCCGTTATTATGTATACGAGATCTTCCGGGTCATTTATATTAGTTGCTCGACATTAATATGTATATTTCTATGGCTTTATGTTGATATCTTAAATAAAATAGGCTGATTTTAAGTTATTGTAGCAATATGTATATGGATAGCGATGTACTGCTATAGAAACTTCCTCCTTATATATCGTAATTTTTTAGTAAGCAAGCCTAACATAAGTGTGTCTGTTGAGAACTTTTACAACACTCTCTAAATAAAGGTTAAAGTGCCTAGGCCTTGGAAAATTTAGCTAGGCTAGTATGTCTACCTTACTATAAGGAGACCCGGATTTTTCTCTATATTGCAGCGCCACCCTTTTATGGTAGCAGACTTAGAATTAGACGACCACGACTTCTAGTTACGTATTTAACCTAGGGCGGGTTTTATAAGTCGACTCCTTATACAGACCCTTTATAGAACTAGGGAGCTTAGTGCTTTTATAGAAGGGCCCTACGGGTAAGGATTCGACCTTCGAGACTTTGGTATAGTGGTTCTATTCGCTAGTGGGATTGGGATTGTTAGCTATCTTGCCTATGTTTAAAAGCTTATACGCGACTACTAGTAATTAAAAACTAAGATAAGAGATATACTTCTAATCTGGTACGTAGATGATAAGTATTAGCTGGATTTGGTCTAGGAGGTTATGAACATTATACTGAGAAAGGACGATCTTCTAAGCACTGCAACGTATAAAGATACTGGTATTACGTCCCGAAGCGGAAAGAAAGACTGATACTTGGGCGGTAGTACCACTAGAGAAAACCTAGGAGTGCGACCTGCACCGTATGGAGATAATGTAAGTTGTAATGTGATGATATAGTTTTAGTAAACGCTAATACTTCTAAGATTATAGATGTTTATATCTACGGTGACTACGAGATATTTAATAAGGCCGGGAATGCAGTATTATATAGGCGGACAGGTAGTTAGATTGCTAAGGTAAAAGGAAAGCTAGATGTGCGGTAAATTATTAACGATGTTCTAGAAATGAGAAATGGAAGACTCGTAATCTATGGTAAGACTTTTTATTTACTGTCGCTATACTAAATAACCTGAGTAGTATGCGCATACTGGGAAATGAGGTGCTAGGCGTGAGAACACGTTGCTCGTACTAGCTATAAGCAAGTGAGATATCTGGAGCTAGATTTTTAACTATTTGAGCTGAGGCGGTATAGTAAAAGAAGACACTCTTTGCTAATCTAATGCCGTGGGATCGAAGGTGCTTAGATAGAAATGAATCTTAAATCTACCCGTCTATCGATATGGTAGTTTTTTTTAGGCTCTTTGATGATCTGTAAGGCGCTATGAAAGCTTTAAATGCTTGTTCCTGGTTGTGGCTGAGTTGATCTACTGCGTCTGAGACTGCGTTGGAAAGGTCTCGGATCTCGTTAAAAGCGATTCTATTAAGTAAACTAAGAATACATGCTTGTAGTAAGTCTTGAGAGATTCTATTAATCTTTTTCTTGAACTTTTCTGCGTGCTGGTAATATTCCCGGTAGAATGTAAGCTCGAATCTAAGTTCCCTATTTCTGCGGTTGAGGAAATCGATGTAATGAACGATGTCTTTGGGCTGCTTCGATTTTTGTATATAGTGAGGTTCTATTTCTATCGCGATTGTTGTACTACTATAGCACCTTATAATATGGTTAATGTTATTAGCTTTAAGAGGTCTGCTACGAGGCAGCTTTCTTATTGCTGAATCTATAATAAAATGTGAAGCTGAATGGGAGTTAAGTGGTCTTAAATTCGCTGCGTTAGCGTAGTTATAAATGTGCGGATGGTTTTTTTATATTAAGCCTGTAGTAAGCTCCTAGTTTATAAAGTATTAGCTAATATGGATTCTAGGCGGCTGACGATCTTTCTAAGGGCGATAAATGGCGTAGAAAACGCAAACTCTATTAATAGAAAGGGTGGCTCTGCTGAGCTAAGAGCCCCGAAGCGAAGGCTTTATATCGAAGATAGACTGATAGAGCGTAAGCTTCTAAAGCCTACGTTAACCCTTTGAGCAAAGTGAAAAATCTTCGCACTACTTTATGAAGATCCTAGAAGATACTATTAATGTATATATATCGTGGATCTGGAAGGAGAAAGACCTTATTGTTTGGCCTAAGAAATAGTCTTAGATGCTACTGAGAACGGATACTGGGTTGTGATGATTTGACGTAGCCCTGATAAATCCGTTTATGGCTTAGAGGATCTGAACCCGAATCTTCTTAATATTGTATCTGTTTTTAGTTTTTAGGATTCTTTGTTTACCGTCTTTGATAGACCTGGCCTTGCATTATCTGAGATTGCTGTGTCTTATTCCCTACCGCTGGGATTAGCTTAGGTGAGAATAATAAGCGTAGAGGTAGGGTAATCGCACGTCTAATTATTTATGGAGTAATAATAGTGTAGGCACTTTCTGGTATTTGCGCAGTGTATACTGCGGGCCTTTGCCTGCCTTTAATTAGTGTAGAAGATATTATAATTTTAGAAAGTAATGGTCGAGTTAAAGTTGGTAAGTATCGAAAGCTTCGCAGGAGGAGTTCTAACTACTAAAAAGCACGTAGCATTGGACAGAGCATATTTGTAAGAAATAATGGTAGGTGGTAAGGCTGTTGCCTTTGGAAAAATGCTAGAAAACCTTGTGTCTGTTGTTCCGGGTTCTTCAGCCCTATAGCAAAGCCAGGATCTCCTTGCTTTTATCTATAATGCCGCTGAAACATTATATTAAGAATTAAAGAAGGTAACTATATTTCTTTGAAGTTATAGTATAATACTAAGATGTTATAGGATAGTTTTTTGAAAAACGCTTTGCCTATAGCGTTACTGATTCCTTTTGTCTTGAATGTATAGGTTATAGTGTTTCTGGTCGAATATGTAACAGAATCTGTAATAACTGATTTGGGGACATCGTAGAAATAACTTTGAAGTAAAATTGTGATAATAAATAGATACTTAAACATGTTATGATGAGAGAGGTTACTGGTTCTTCCTAGCTAATGATTTTTCTCGTCGAGATTTCTTTTGTTGTTCATCTTCGGTAGCAATTTCGAGAGCCTTGTTTAGGCTTGCGACCTTATTCTTTCTATCTTTGACTTGTTGGGATAGAGTTTTAATTTTCTCGCTAAGCTCTATGTTATGGTACTGGAAATCCACATTTTGATCCATAACGTATCTTAACTTGGCGAAATCGTTATTCTCTGAATGCTGACTAGAAATTTCCTGCATAAGCAGAGCGTTCTTAGCTGACTCTAAAATTATCTTACTGATACTTTGGCTATTCTGTGAGCTCTCTATATCGCCTCTAACTAGATTGGCTTGAGAGTTGTTCAACAGGCTTTCGGCTCGCCTAGCCACCTTATCGGCGAACATCTGAGATTCTGTTGTAGATTTGTTGAGATCTTCTTGGACCCTCGCGCAGCTCTTGTACTCCTTTAACAGCTTGTCGTGGCATTCTTGTAGCTTAATGAATTGCTGGTTAAAGAGTTCGCTTGCCTTCCGTTCCTGTTGCAATTCTTTCTCTATCGCTAAGATTTGCTGTCGTGTATTTCCTATTTCGCTTTGAGCCAATTGAAGGTGTTGATACATGCTTTGTAGCTGGTTTTGGCTATGACTATACAAGTTAGTTATGTATACCGCAACCCTGGCACAGTATGCTTGGTTGTAAGAACTTATATTTTCCTGCTACCTGAGGTCAATTATAATATAAGTACTTTTAGGAGATAACAGAAATACCTCTGATGATTGCATTGTTAATTCTTGATGTGGCTGTGACTGACTTATTGTGACTAGTTGAGGCAAAATGCTTGTTTAAAGGCGGGGAGTACTTGGGTAAGAAACAGACTAAATACTCTACTAGTAGATGCTTTTCTCTGAGCTTTTATAATAGTAACGGAGCTGGAGAAAGATTAGTAGGTAGTTAAGCATTTATAGTTGCGGAAGCTAAAAAGCGGGACTGCGTTAGTAAATTACTCCACGCTAATGATTAGGGCTCTAGACCTAACGCACTTCTACATTGGGCTGATTTGTACTTTTTGCTAGCGCTTAATACACCTGTTATATTAGATTATAAGTAGTACACCCTTTTTCTAATCTACTAGACAGGTATTCCTTAGATCCATAGGATCTAGTACTAATTGAGAGCTACAGCTCCACTAGTGCGGAACGGTTTGGCCAGAAGATAACGCACTAGTGTTTAGAACTTCGATTTTATAGAAAAAAGGATTAAGGGCTACTAGTTATTTCGCCGAATATCTACTAATTATATCGATCGTGAAGTGATCTATATATAATACTAAGCTATGTGCATAGAGAGCTAAGCGAAGCTCCGTTGTAACCGTATGCGGGGTAAAGTCGCGATCGATAGGTGCTGCACGACCCTAGTAAAGACTACCATTCTACATAGAGTTAACTTCTGTTAGAGATGATACTACTTAGTATATACAGTAATGCTCTAACTAGCAAGACAAATGCTGGATACAATCGGAAGCGGTGTACTATATTCTTCACACTTAAGATATACTTCCGTAAACTTATTACTTATAGCCTCTTTGTAATTCTGTATTAGCGGGTATAAGTGCTTGCTCTCTTCTCTAGATTTCTGGCTAATATCTAGTCAACATGGCTTCTAATGATTAAAATGCATTATTCTCTGAGTAGCCGGCGTTATTTTCATCTTTAAACGCAATAGTTACTACGGGGTCATCCACAACATTTAGTCCGCGTCTACCGCCCATTTTAGAACAGGAATGGGATTTCAATTGAGAAGAGAATACGTTTCCGCTATCAAGTCCGTACGAAGGCTTCGAACAAACCACAACTGCTATTAAGCCTGCTACTAACGACAATTCACTACTTTAGACACACGAGGGGCTAACTAAGGTGCAAATTAAGGTGCGACAGCTGCGTCGTAATATCTCAGAACTGCATAAAATGTTCTATAAGCGGCTAGATAATATAGAGAAGAGCGTACTAGGAGCTCAACGTTATGTCAATAATTTGGTACCGTGGTCCATAGAAGTCCACGAGAAGTATTCACAACTATTAGCGATAGCAATAAAGCAAGAAGACCGAGCTGCGGAAAGGGCTACATAATATGCTTAATAGACAAGGCTTTAAAAATCTTACCTTATGTTCCTTACTAGCTATTATTCGCATATGCACGTTCTAGTAATGATTTGCAAAAATGCATTATAAAAGATCGTACGTTATAATCCACTCAGCACGTTCACATCAGGAAAGTATTAAGCAGCAATGTAGCTTAAAATAAATTAAGTGACTTCTATTTACCTACGACGTGCTTATTCGTATCACCTTCTTTCAACGATACCGTCATCAAGAAATCGGCTATAGCCTTCGGGATCTGCTCTCTTATGCCGCAATCTCGATAGCATCTACCGCAGACGTTAAAGAGCAGATAGTATCGTCTGTTAAGCCTTCATATTTTAAAGCGATCTCGAAAGTTAAATAAGTTAACGAATAAAACAAATATGCTCAGATAGAGCGTTCGATTGAATGTATAAGTAGGTATATATCTAAAGGTATTATGTTGTTCTATTGCTTATATTACTAAGAGCGAGTTTAAATACAGCATAATCAGTCTATAGATAACCACGCTACTTTATATAGTGCTCTAGGTTTACAGGACTTTCTCGCGTATGATTTTTCTTTATTCAAACTAGAAGCCTCTATTTATAGAACTATTGCGCAGTGTACATATATAGTTTATTAGCCTTTTCTTAAAGTGAAGTTAGGGCGCCGCCTCTTAGAGATTCTAGTTTTTAAAGGCATTGCCTTTTTTCTTTTCCTGCTAGTTTTATACTGATAACGACTCATACTTACAGAGTCCGTAACTTAATAATCTAATCTCCCAAACTTAGCGTCTAGCTACTAGACTCTTACGAAATATAAAATCAATTACGGGAAACTACTAATTCTTATTTAGTTAGATTAATTAAACTGCAGGTAGATAGATTTGCTCTGTTCCGCATAGTACACTCTAAGCTCGACAGCCTTATAGTAATAACCACATACAGTGCAAAGGCTAGAGCCGCCAATATAGCCCAAGCTAGTACCATCTTCCATCGTAAAGGAGGCATCTAGGTATTCCTACAGAATTCTTTCAACTAGCGCACGCGTGTCCGGACTACAGCAGCGGATAGAACCAAAGCATACTAGCAATGTTCTATTAGTAGTAGGCTTCTAGTAGAGTTCGAAAAAGAAAGCAGCGGCAAACAGTACCTGCGCGATACTAGAAAAATCGTAACTATAAAGAAATGTCGCAGTTAAGCTTTCTAGATCTAGTATCTTGCTAACATTATCTAGCCTTAGCTCTATGCTAAGCGCTATGTTAATACGGAAGTATCTGTGCCGTTCCTCAAGAGAGACACGATTTAGGTAGTCCTCCTAGCTGTCTTGGGCACTTAGCATAGCGTTAAAAAGGCGGAGTAGGCGTGAGAGGAAACGGTCACGGAAACCTAGTCTGCTAGAAACTATCTTTAGTGGCTCTGAATCTTGAGCAAACCCTGTATCTATTAAGACAGCTAGGTTAGGTGTATTATTCTAGATGGCTTTAGCCTCCTACTCTGCGGGGCCAATAGGATTATTATGCTTTCCTGCACCGCTATCCTATAAAAATCTAATGCCCTGAATAAACTTTGCTAGGAAGTAGGATAGGGTAGCTGACGTAGCCCTAGCTCTAGATAAAATAAGTTTAAAAGCTAAGAGAAGGAACTATGATCTACGCGTCGCATATAAGAGTCTCCTCTTTTAGATAAGTAGCTTGGTAGTGTTGGTAACCTGTATTCGTCTATTAGTCTTATATCCAAAGATGAGATATAGCCTTTTACCTTTTCTTACTCTAACTCTATTATAATTAGAGAGAATGTATAATCTTAAGTTAGATACGGCCATTGTAGTAACTACCACTTTGGGACCTAATATACCCGTGTTCGATGTATTAGAGCCAAAAAGGGTAGTGTTTGATCCGAATGCTTCTTTCACGCATGCTTCTATCTCGGTAGCTCTGTAGAAGCTATCTATAAGTAGTGAACATAGAAATCTATATATATTTACGAACAGGGAATTTCTAAGTATTAAATAAGAAGCGAAGATACGTTTAGACAGCTGCCTAAAGATGTTGATGCACTCGTCTAGGCTCCGGCGTAAGAGGAATATGAGTATAATAAGGCTACCTACAACTTATAATGAGTGGTGGTGCTATCTGCAAACGTTAAGATAGGGGAGAGACTTACCTGTACTTGTACCTAATATTAAGTTAAACTTATTGTGGATAGGATAAGGAAGTTATTGATACCTGTCGAGAGCTTATAGTATATGTAGCGTGAGTATTCCCTGGATACCGCCTCTGTTAAGAACGAGCAGGCGGCTGCCGGTAGTTGGTGGTTTTAGACGAACTGTTAGCTCGCTGTTAGAATAATATAAGATGTATTGCGAGATACGGTATGAGTATTCTATTTGCTGCCCTTTTAGTCTAAATTTATAAGTATAAGAATTATAAAGCGCGTGTCTATAACGTAAACTATGCTTAGGCTTATAGAAGATGTAATAAAGGTAGACTTAAGAGCTTTAGAGCGTATTCTAATTGATAGGTATGTCTTATAGATTTCTCTTATGTATTTGCACCGCTGTAAGCTCGGCTTGCTTAAGTTTATAGCAGAACTGGCTAAAGAACACTTTTAACTGTGTACATAAAGCTGTTGGCGAGAAGCCTTATTCAGATAGTAGTAATAAAAAGACGCTATAATAGTGAGACTAATATAGGCACTCGAAGACTGAGAACGGTTTAAAGCCTATTTATTAAGATTATATCGTGATAGCTTAGCTTAGAGTACTTACGATGCATACCTAGCGGAAGGCTGTCTAGTATAATCGTAGAAGTAATATGCTTTAAGGTAGTCTCTTTACTTACGTGATTAGAAGTGTATAGAACTAAAAAGTGCCGTAGATTGGCCCTAAGATTCTTTTCTATTTAATTGCGTTGCCGTAAAGCGATAATAAAGTTGAATGGTGTAGAGGCGCACGTAGCAACATGTTCTAACGCTAACTTAAAGAAGGTATTGAGATGAGAGGCTGAGTATAGCGTCTTAGAGATGTCTCTACCTCTTCTTACTATTTTTATACTAGAATTGATGACCTTCTTTAATGTGAAATACCTCGAGGTAGACAGGGTCTTGCGGCTTTCTTTCGGTAGTACTACGCGCTGAATACTACTAAATATGGGAAAGCTAAGATTTCCCCTCCGCTTGTACGCGCGACTACTGATAAGAATGACCTATGGCTTCTAGTCTTGTGATACGCTACTATGACGTCCATATCTTTGTAGGAAATGGATCCCTTTCTTAGGGGTAGAAAAATCATCAAGGAAGATACAAATAACATCAACGAATAATGTTAATAACTTGCTAACTATGATTTCTATAAAAGTCTCTGCTGTGGGTGCGGATAAATGCTCTGATAACTACGTGACTTTGTGAAGTAAATATCTATTACGATTTTGTAGTGGCTTCTGCTTGCTGTAGGATTTCTTAATATCTAGACTTGTAACTTGGAGGGGATATTTATTGTAGGATGTTGAATCGTCTGCCTGTAATTGTGCAATACTGCGTGACCTTGAATGAGTACGCCCTTGTAGCAGCGCCTGACGCGCCGCGTCTTTCTTACGCTTGCTAATTAGTAAGACTGTAGAAGGAAACTGGGTATGAGGATTGCGAAAACTAGTAGTCGTTCGCTATAAGGCGTTCTCACACGCTAAGAACTAATTAGTTCTACTTTAAAAGCTGTATAGCTAATCTGAATAATCTTGTGGCGGTATGGTTATACGATTTAAATAGAAAAAAACTATTTCTCTTATGCGCTAAAGCCTTGTCCGTGTTAGTATAAATAGGTTTCTGGGATAAGCAGGTTCTTGCAAGACTCACTTTTAAGAGGGTACTAGCAATAATACATTTATAAAGACGCTGAACCTAAGCTTATACCTTAGAAAAGTCAAAATATAAGTAAATAGCTTAAAAGATTCCGATACTACCTTAGTACTGCTCAAATACGTCTACTGAATCTGTGCTATAATATATCTGCCTTGGATCCCGACGATTATGTTAGGTGCTGTATATCTAATATAGAATATAATTTACCGGCTTTAATTAGGTATTCTAAGTACTAGAACTTTTTAAATAAAGCAGGTATCTCCAAATATACGCTTTATATTATTAGTTATCTGCCTAGGCTTTTTCTTTCTAATGATATTTAGTTACTATGCCTTTACGGCCGATTCTGATTAGAGACTGCGAAATGAGATAGATCGCGAAATTAAGATGATTAATAGCTCGTGGATCTCTACAGTTTAGGTAAGAGAATTACGATTTCCTACGAAATTAGCTGCTAAGTAGTAGATAGACGCACCTACATCTATATTAGCTTAAATTCGCTAATTATACATACGACATATGCCTCTATATAATAGGGAAAAGTTCCTTTATATTTAATTCTACGAACGTAAGAAAGATTACGAGGTTGCTTTAAGGTAGAAGAAGTTACTGGGAGCTAAGGTGAAGAGCCTTTATTAAGTTCTGCGCAACGACTGGCTCTGCGACTGTCTTAAAAAATTAGAGCCGTTTCGCTCTCTATGGATGGGCTTTTAGCTTGGATGTTTTCTATTGATTCTGAGCTGGCGGTGCAGCTAGGTATGGGTCCTCTGAAACCAAAGTGCATTGGATCGTTTACCTTTCTAGGAAATTGAATATTATCTAAACTATATGTATGAGATCTGGCATATAATTATAGATGGAAATACCTACCTCTGTGATGAATATACTGTTGAAAAGCTTAGGGGCCTTGCGCCTCTATGGAGTTCTCGCGATCGTTTAATGATCGAGACCTTGTTTACTATATGTTAGGTCTTCTGTTGCGTACGCGATTCTGCTGTACGCGCTTAAATACTTTAAAGAGTCCTTACTGTTGAAGGTCTTATCTTAAACTTTAAGACGTTTTTTAAACACGTTAAGGTATTAGGACTGATTATACTCTCTTTAAGAGAGTTGTTTCTAGCAGGTGAGCTATTCCCTCTTAGGGACGAATTCAGCCTAGTATCTAGACGCCTTCCCTTAGTAAGAGACATTCTACTTCAGCACTGCTACGAACAGCATAAGGATAATAAGCAATAATGTTTATTATAATATAGTAAACACGATAAGCGCTTCTTTAAATATAGCGATCCCGGAAGATATGCGTACTAGTAACTATATCTTTATCTTTTTCGCTACTTAAAAAGCCAATAGAATTCTTATAACAAAGGAAAAGGCTAAAAAGAATAACTAGAGTATTTAGAATAGATTATTCGACTTAGTTATTTTGCGCGTAAGCTTAGTTTTGTGTCTGCTAAAATCTCTTCTCTATGTAATTAAGATCTAAATCTTTTACAGATTCGTATTCATATGCTTTAAGAACTACTAAATCATTCGTTCTCTGTATCTGTAGAAAAATTCGAGGCAGAAGCTTATTCCCGTCGAACTGGCTAAGCGATCTTTGAGCCTCGCCTGCCTGCTCTAACTCCATTGATGACGACCGATAACGCGACTACTATAAGGATAACTAGGAGCCACCCCGAGCTATTTCTTCCCACAATATAGACTGCTCTTACCTAAGAGCCGAGATACGCTTTAACAGAATATAGAATGCTTATGTTAATTTGCATGTCATTCTTCGAGAAGTTTAGATCAGCATCTATCAGTAGTATCTACGAGGGCTTTTAACCGACCCAACCGAACTAACTGACCTAAACAGCCCAACCGGCCCGACTACTATTGCGTTCTTCCTCTATCTACTCCGTGCCCGTATATCCGGATTATCTGGCTAGGTCCCACGGTGGCCGCATTACATTCTAGCATCTGCCCCAGAGTCGGAATATACTTCCCTAGGCGAATTATGTATGCGATATAACTAAAGATAATATTAAGAAAGTAGTAAATAGTATTTAAACGTAGGGCGACGCGCCTTTGTTTGCTTTACTTAATACTAGTAGGCTACTTAAGCTCTGCAATCCCTCTCAGATTTTGTATCGCCGTAAAGGATCTAAGTAACTAAATAACATATACTATGTATATGGCAAGAAGAATAGTAAGAATTGGATTTTGAAGCAGCTTAATAGTAGATAATCTAAATCTTCTTCTATTACGTGTGGCAATCAAAGTGCCTTAGATTAACGAAGGCGATAGCATACCTGTTTGCTTAATAGACATTCTTGATTCTAACTTTTGTTAAATGATTTATTATTACATTTATTAAGCCGATATATGCCCGTAGCGTCTCGGGTAAGCCAGCCAATATTTAAATAAACTGTGGCATAGTAGTATTAACTTCAAGGACCACATAATCCCAACTCTTAGTAAGTCGCCACATGCACGATTGTGGCACAGCACTAACACGCAGCTACTATCTTAAGTTTGCATTAGACGCATATAATGCCCCTCTACATGATTTCTTGCATACTACGCGATACGCGCTTACGGATGATCCGGACACAATACAAAGGTCTAGGCAACGAGTGAAGTAAGCCTGTAATCGGTGCTGATTTAAGAAAACAAAAGTGAGTTTAGCTACTAAAAATACGATTAGGTATAAGACTTACCTTAGTATTATGTAATGGGGAGCGTGTATGCAATAAATGCCAAAAGGATAATATATTATGTGATTATAGCCTAGATGTAGACTACCAGCGAGATAAAAGATCTATGTAAGTATTACTAAGAGTAGAGAAGTAGTGGGTTTAGCTAACTCACATTGCATGTAGGGTGGTTCTCCTCGAGGAATAGAACAAAAGGTTACGAGATATAGTATAAATGTTGTACGAATGCATTCGAACTGGTCGTAATATACTAGCACTACCTGTACGGAGCCCGGGAGACGATCGTCTACTCTTATAAGACATTATAGTATATGTTGATATATTTCCTGTGTGTATAGAAACTACCTCCGACTAGTTCTAGCATTAGGTTACATTGCTGAGTACTACACCTACTTTTTCTCTACTACAATCACAGCTAGAGGCCTTATTACTTCTAAGCTTTGCTGTAAGTAAGCTTTAACAGAGCAGCTTTATAGCGCCTTCGATGCAACTAGACCTACTATTAACAGAATATGACGTAGTATAAGAGGACTATGATCTTATAGGAAGTAGGCTAGACCTATAAGAGTTTTCGTCATTTCTAGGAGTAGACCTAGCGGAGGCGGTAGGATTGCGTCGATGGCTATAATTATATAAATTATAGGCGATGTAGTCTCTTTTAGCGTTGAGAATAGGAATCTAAGTATCTAGGTGAAGATAATGAAATTATATTGCACTAGTATTTTATATAAAGTTTTTGAGTTCTAAGACGTCTTCTACGTAGAGTATATGCCCTTACACCGTTCTAGCAGAAGCTATAGACTTATTATTCTCGAATTCTAAATAGCTATTAGGCAAGCTTTCTATAGGTTCGCTGTACGTTTCTATATTCTCAAACTGTGTGCTGCTACTAGAAACGCACTCTAGGTCTAGATTATTAGTATCCACTTGTTCCCTCGCTATCTGGCTGTCTTCCGCCATCCGGACGTTTAGACGTTTAACTTTATAGTATATGTCTAGCTTTAAGACCTCTTCTGTGGGCTTGTCTCTAGCTTCTAGAGCATTTTCTATAGTAGTGTGGACGTAATGGCTGATATCGGTAGTTGCTTCCTTAATTGCTCCACTAGCGTCCAGCAGCTATTCTCTCTGAATATCTATAGCCTTTCGCAAACTTCGAAGTCGAGTATTTATTTCTTATAGGCTTAGGTCTTTCTTTAAGATCTATATAGCTAAATTATTTTTCTCGCGTAGAAAGAGAGCTTTACTAGAACTCAGCGGACTTAACAACCTACTTGCTACTTCTAAGCGATATACTGCACCTCGAAGCATTAGATTTACTATAAGATTTAGTAACCCCTATCGCGCTTGCTAAGACAAACTATATACCTAATAGTATAACAAAATCTATATCCTAACTACTGGCAAAATGCTTAGTAGGTAATGGCCCTAGTTAAAGTAGACGGATAAAAAAGACATCTTAGAGTAATTAATAGTACTTAGTAGGGCCTAAGACCTTAGCTACGCGAAGAAGTATAAGGAGTTTAGGCATAGAAATCGTCTCTAGCCTTAGGGTTTGTGTGATAAAACTGTACGCTATGGTGTGGTATACGCGCGACGTGGTGGGGATCTTGTATCGTTAAATAGCGTTAGCTATATTTATAAGCGTTTGCAGCGATATGTGAGATTGTGGTATAAAAGAGCTATAAGCCGACTAGCATATTAAGTAAAAAGCTTTAGGATCTTCGTCAGGGAGCTTAACACTCTTACGCAACGTGCCGCTTTGCGTAGTAAAAAGCTTTTTGAACTCTGGTAACGTTTCTGATATAACTAAGGAAGAGACGAAAAACCAAGATTATTGAATCTAAATCTTAACGTCGCCTTTCTCGTGTAGATTTATACTAAGATCTATTATAGAGGTTATGGTAAAGCAAGATGAAGGAGCTTTTTTTATTCTTTTCGTACCGTAATAGTATATATAGTGATTGAAAATTGTGGAATAGAAAATATAAGCTATAGCGATTAGTCTATGTGCGCCCTTGTTGGCAGCTCACGTTAATGTTCGCAGGGCCACTAATTGGCGGAAAGGTATGCCGTTGCCTGGCTTTCTTGGACGCCGGCCTATTCTGTGAATCTTAAGAGGCCTCCCGTTAAACGGAATGCTTATATGAGACGATTATTTGTTCGGCCATTTTCGTCTATTCGGCTGTACTTTGGCGCGGTAAGCCGGCCCTAGTGTATACGGCATTAGTCCCTAGCGCTTGTAACACTAATAGGAACGATATCCGACTTTCCTAATTTACGCACAGCGGTAATTACGGTTATTTTCTTCGTTAGTCTTCTGTTTGAACCGTTGCATCCCGAGCCCCTGAATTCGTATAAGGATTCCTGAAATGGCTCTAGATTTGCGCGCGCTATAAGATATGACTTAGGTATATATGAGGCGATTGAGCGTGAACGCACGATCTGTGCATGCGACGGTGGAGATCGTTCTATAAAGTTTATATTATACATTTATATTATGTATCTGAAAGTAATGGTTATAACTACTAAGTCTGTATAGA